CATTGGTTTATTCACACCTTTTGCATTATCAGTTTATTATTCTTAAAAAGCCTTTGGAAGATTTTTGTCTCGGAAATTCTTAGAGAATTTTCTGTTTGTCTTTCTAGAACATATGCACATAAACACTTAGTGAGTTTAGAGTTGTTTTGTTCGAATCCTGATTATGATCATATAGTTGCATCTACATCGATAAGATAAAAGCATATCAACTTCTACATCGAATTCAGACGATTGAAGAATAGAATTAAAAGCGATCACACTTTGAAAGGGTTAGAGCATTCGAGGAGTGTTGTCTGATCTACCTGCTACTCTTCTACAAAGATCAAGCATAAGCTTGAGGTCAAGTTGCTGTTGGACAGGGAGTCGCAAAGCTAGAGGATTATCAACTGTTGGTGTTTGGTAGAATGATAGGGTGTGAGTCAGAGTCAAAGTTCAGTGTACTTTGTTTCAAGTATAGTGGATCGGTTTACTTTGGATTGCACAGTCAACGAGGTTTTTCCCACGCAAACAATTGACATATTTTATCAATTGGGGTTTCCTCGCTAAAATCCTGGTAACATCTCTAACCTTACTTTGCTTTATTTTAGATTACATGATATTAATTTATTAATTGCTAAAATAAAGTAAGTTAGAAAAACACAAGATTTGTTTTTAAAATAATCAAAACTTTATAAATATTTTCCACTGCGTATGACTCACAACATGTACAAAAATCAACAACGGTCAGGGTCACTAGTTCCAATACTCCCAATAAATGTATTATAAAATGCTTTCATGATTAGAAATATTGAATTACCACTAAACAAGAACAATTGAAAATTCTATATTAAAAAAATCACCTAATATTATTAATGAAATGGTTAAATTATGTTGTTGCAGTGTATATTTATAATAGAAAAACTCTAATAGTGTAAGGAAACCTATGTAACAAAAGGAAACTAAAAACAAAAAGTAACCTAATAATAAAAGGAAACTAAAAATATTTAAAAATTATTTAATATTTAACTATCTCTAAAAATTATGAAAATTAAAATAAAAACCTAATTACTAAAAGTACTAAATAGTTTGAGAAAAGTTTGTTCTACATTATATACGATTATAGCATTGGACTAATAACCCTATTGGTAATTTTTTTACACTACTTTGTTATTATATAAAATGTTAATATATGGTCTATATATATATATTTTTCCTTTTTCAAGTTTAGTAATAACATAAAGGAAAATGATAATTTTGACAACACTTTCATATCGACAGAAAAATTGACTCTGACATGGCAATATACGAATGGCTGTTTCAAAGGGAGCGAATCCTCTGAAATCACTTTGCCCTACTGTCCCATGCCGTGCACATTACTTGGCATATATTTGGCAACGTCCTTATTTGTTTAAGTGTCATTGAGACCGCGTTTGGATGCAGTATAATTACACAAATTAGCTTACTCCCTCACCACCACCTTCACCATCAAAATAAGGTATTTACATAGTGTCGACTAAATAATATCACACATAAATGTAACTTAATTCAATTTATGTTATTATTTGATATTAAATGTATACTGCAATTACACATAAATGTGTTCACATGTTATTATTTAACACACTCACCACCTTCACCATCAAAAGAATGTATGCACATAGTGACAAATAACTAATGTCACACATAAATCCAACCCAAAATATTGGAGATACCAATCGATGCCTAATGACCAGACGTCGACCGAAAGCCCCCAACCGGCAGACGTGTAGCCACTTCACATCGACCGAGTCCTGTATACATGAAAAAAACCTACACGTACTCAGCACCTTCACCATCAAAAGAAAGTATTTACATAGTGTTAAATAATTAATGTCACACATAAATCTAGCCTAAAAAATTGGAGATACCGGTCGACATGTAGCTACTTCACGTCGACTGAGTCCTGTAGTGTCGCATCCAAACTGTTGGGATTATGTGCCCTAAAAGCCAATTATTTGTTTTTAATATTCGATATTTAGATATTCATGCATTGGGCTTTTCATATATTTGCATAAGATGCATTTTAGTCCTCAAATTGTAGTATAGGTGACTTAAGTGTGTGAATGAGATTTACACACAAGAGATTTAAGCTCAATGATTTTTTTACACCTTGGCATTGTTCGTAGTTGGTGGTAAAAGGTGGGCACTTTTATTTGCAAGATTGTAACACACTTGAGCTCTATGAGATATGACGGTTTGTCTCGACCATTGGGGTAGTTGACTCTGAGTCAGTTTGTAAGTATGCTTGGAGTACACTGAATTGGATCACTATAAGATTACACCATACAAATTACTATCATTATTTTGGTGTACTTGTTTTTACTAAATTCATTAGGTTCTAAATCCTAAGAGGTTTAGTGAATTTAAGTTTCAATACTAGTCACTTTGACTTACCAATGTGTGAGAACTTTTAAGGTCAATACTACGGTATCTTGGGTGGTTAATGTTGGAGCTGTGGGAACACAAATTCTCATCATGGAATCCACACTCTTTAAGAGTTAGAATATTCCCTTGATGCAATTTAATAAGTTTGATCACTGGAACTTGGCGAGAGCATATTAGTAAAATATTTACTAAATTATTTTTCTATTTATTTATTTAGAAAAATATTTATTTTTTAAAATTATTTTGCAAAAGAATTTAATTCAGTGATCATAAGGATTAAATTGGTTATTCAAAGTATATAAAATATAAGTAAGCCTTAGGTGGGACGGTATATATTATCCTGTGGCTACTTATGGATATTTAGTAGTGGAGGGATTTATATGTAATTATTTAGTAGGATAGAGCCTTATTGTAATTTCCAAATCTTAGAGTGCAATTACAATAATATAGTGGTAATTATTGTAATTAATTGGGTATGGCAGAGTTATGAGATAACTCAACCTCTATTCAATTGGAGCTAAGATGAGGATTCCCTTTGATACTCATCTCTAACCCTATCACTTCGATGGTGCATATATGGTTGTTACCCTCAGGTTTCTATTAAAAAATAATAGATGTAAAAAAAGTCTTCTAAAAGTAGAGAGAGTGAGGCTAATAGACATACGGCTCCCACAAGCCAGACCGTCTATTCTGGGGTTATCGAGGTAAAGTTTCACTGGTGTTCAAGGTTAAAGGAAAACGGTGTTCAAGGCTAAAGGAGGAGTAAGTCCAATTCCCTGTTGTTCCTGGAGTGTTAACGATTAATCAATCGTCTAAAAATATGAAATCATTTTTCAGTAGTTCTTGATTTGATGAAAAATCACGTGGATAAGATCCAGATATTTTTTTAATTCACTTCCTTTTCATCTAATCATTGTGATGATTTAATTTTTAAATTGTTGTCTATGCATATATTGATTTTATTCATGGCCTGCAATGATTTTTATTTCGTGAATATAATATTTTTGATTAGTTCACCAATCTAAGTCGTTCACTGATTGATTAAGGTTTGAATATTGTTTATGGATTTAACCATTATAATATGTGCATTCTAAATCATGTAAGAAGTCTATCTATTGGATTGGGTAATATTCTTTAGATATGATTATTAATTTGTGGCTCACAAGAAGGGGTTTCTCCAATGATTTTGTGCGAGATTTCCACTGTTGAGTTGTAATGGTGGTATTTTGTGATTCTCAATTTGATTATGAAATTGATATATTTTTGAAGCGGCCTACATTAGAACCCCATATAATTGGGGTGCTAAATAAGTAAGTAAATAAAAGAAAGTACTCTTCTGATCCATGTCCTTTTAAATAATGGTGATCATTATTACTGTGGTATATTAATTAATAGCATGTTAAAAGTAAGATAAAATGTATCATTTGATTACTTTGATATAAAGAGATTTGGCAGCCGCTAGGGTACATGGGAACTTCCCATGTAATCGGTTGTCGTAGCAAAATACAAATTAAACCTCTGGATACTTTGGAAGATTAATTTGGAAGAAAGTTTTAATTGAAGGCTCATTCAAAAGTTTTTGGATTTAATTTAATGTGTTGTTTATTATTTGATATTGCACATGGTCTATTACTTTAATTAGTAGTCATCATATAATGGAAAAATCCCAAATATTAGGTTTCTGATTTTCTATGACACTTAATAATGTGTGGCCGGCTCATGTAATGGGCTTCCAGTATGTGAAAACCAAAATTTGGGTATCACACTTTGTGGGGCCCGCATAAAGCAGCCATGTACATGGGTATGTACAATAACCATTAAACAAAATTAAAATAGATATAAAAAAAAAAAAATTGGTAATGTTTTAATTGCCTTTGAGGTTTAGAATTACATTAAATAATATTAACGCGCCACTCATATGAATGATGCCTACATAGGATGAATCTGTTATCCATTGTGGAGTTTGATAGATATGAAAATTAATAGGTACCTATAAATGAGTATATTTCGTTTTATATTATATTTGTTTGGACATATAATATATGTGCTTGGTCGTTCCCATGCAATGTTCATTTTGGATGCAATCAATTTCAGAATTAATTTTTATTTATTTATTTAATTTTTTAAGTATATCTGCATGTATATGTATGCATATTTGTATGCATATTTGAGCTTCTTGCAGGTAATTTTGATGATCACGGAGTTTACAATTATGTAACAAATAGCATGGGAGAATGCTTGCTTTTACAATTATGTAACAAATAGCATGGGAGAATGCTTGGTTAGAGAAAATAGAATGAAAGGAATTTTCCTTAAAAGCAGCATAAGCCCAGCATATCCAATAGGATTGCTAAATACTTTGAAAAATACGGTTGAGGCTTTATGTAGCCAGTAATGGGCTATCAAGGATTATCGGCTGAGTTTGTAAATGTCCTCTGCACATCACTATGAAAAATCAGAGTGAAAAATAAAAAGAATTTTATATAATTTGCCATTTGTATATATGTATTAAGTTGGGGTCCATATGGATATGGTTTTAATATATTATGCACCCATTATCTTTATTCGAATGGTATGCACCCATTATCTTGTTGGCTACAATATCTTCCACTCGTTTGCATAGAAGTGTTCTCTGTAGATTTGAGTGACTGCTCAGCTGTTTGTTTTTATTTTTCAGTAGAAGAGTCAATGCTCATCTTGTCTACAGTGTTATGGCGATAATTTCTTACAGACACCCTATTATGTCCTCCACTCATTTTTCTCGATCACGTTTATAATATGTTCATCAGGGCGTAACACAAACTATGAACTGTGATCCACTTTTGTTGTGCGCTTGTTCTATTTGTACTCATCTATATATTCAATCCCAAAACAATCCAAGCACCGAAAAATCAATAACAATGGAGTCACTCCTCCCAATGCTCCCAACAATTGCTAGGCTTTCTATATATCCACTTCTTTTTGTTGTTTGCTTTGTGATATGGAGGACAAGAGTTGGTCACGGCCGAAACACAGCTAGTAAGAAAAGACTAGCACCCCAAGCTACTGGTGCATTGCCTTTGATCGGTCACCTCCATCTCTTAGGACGCTCTCAATTGCCACACATTACCTTTGGTTCTATGGCTGACAAGTACGGCCCAATCTTCACCATAAAGCTCGGGGTAAACCGAGCATTGGTAGTGAGTGATTGGGAGATGGCTAAAGAATGTCTCAACACCAACGACAAGATCTTCGCCAGCCGTCCAAGGGCTTTGGGAGTGGAGCTCATGGCCTACAACTATGCCATGTTTGCTTTGAGTCCTTATGGCCATTACTGGCGCCAAGCCCGGAAGATGGCCATGTTCGAGCTTCTCTCCAAGCCCCGGCTTGATATGCTTAGACATGTCCGAGTATCAGAGATAAGAACATCCATAAGAGAAGTATATGACTTGTGGGTTAAGAAGGAAAGTTCTTCAAATGTTGTGAAGTTGGATATGAAGCAATGGTTCGAGGATTTAACCCTAAATGTAATGGTTAGGATGCTTGTAGGGAAGCGATATTCACGTGATGAGGAAGAAGGGGCACGAGTTTGGGAGGCCATCACGAAGTTCCATGAATTATTGGCGGTGTTTGTGTTGTCCGACGCCTTCCCTTTTCTGACGTGTTTGGATTTGGGAGGTTATGAGAAGGCCATGAAGAAGACAGCAAAAGAAATTGACGATATAATTGAAGGTTGGTTACAGGAGCATAAAAGAAAGAGAGATTCTGGCATGGTGATGAGTGATCAAAAGGACTTCATGGATGTGATGCTGTCCCTTCTTGACAATTCAAAGGCCGAAGATTTTCCTGATTTTGATGCTGATACCATGAATAAATCTACATGCCTGGTACATGCTCTCCACCCAGTTGATTTTGATTTACATGGTATATTTTTTGTGAACTTGAAATCATTTGTTACGTACTTGTCTAGAATTCAATAACTAGGATAAAATATATATATATATATATATATATATATATATATATATATATATTTCTTGCATTTATTATTAGTGGGTTAAAACACTAGTTCCTTCAACTTGGGAATACATTGTCAAAAGCTTATATTGGCTTCTTAAAACGCTAGTTCTTTCAACTTACGAATTCATTTATTATTAGTGTGCAAAGATAATTTGATTATGAATACATTTATAGGCTTGCTTTACACACAAATACTAATTCACACATACGAGCAAGGTTATTAGTATTAACTTATTTTGCCAATCTTGAGCATAATAAACATGTTCATTCTACTAGTTTCAAGTGAGGCTCAGAGTGGAAAGACCTGGAGCGGATTCAAGATCCATATCTGGATTGAATCGGATCCATTATATGGATATGATTCATACTTATAACCCAAGCATGATCCAAATAGAGTATAAATACAAATTATCTAGACCCATACATATCTCTGACCTGAATCTTACAAAGGATCTTCCAAAGAACATCTATATTCGACCTATTTTGAATTCAAAATTCAAATATCAACCCTTCACCATTTCAAGCTAGTCCTAGCTTCAAGTACGCTGAGGTTGCAGGTTGGTTTAGGTCGAGAGACGCAAAGAATTTCATGATTAGTACATTTAATAGTTTGAAGAAGAACTAGCTTCATACATGTAAATACTAATTGTTGGCACATAAAAGTGGCAGGCCAATGGTCAGCCACTTCAGTGATGACATGGTGCATTGAAAAGAGGACAAGTAGACTAAATCATGGTCCAAAGTTGAATTAACACATGTCAAACTTGGAAGGGGAAGAAATTCCAACACGATGGAAACATCTGGCAGAACGAGAAAGGCGGGTATGGCAGGGTAACGACAACTAGCAATCAAGTCGTGGGTTGAATGGTTTTCTAAAAACAAGGAGGATGTGGGCTAAAGGAGTTAGTAATATGTGAAACTTCTACAAAACTGACAGTTCAGTTTTTAGAAGTCCCTACCTTTAAGGAGTATAAAGCAATACACTACTAAGAAGGTAGTTCTTAAAAACTAGGGATGAGGAGATCGCTGATTATACAAAATCTATTTCAAAAGGAAATAGATTGAAGCAATTAAATTACGTAATATATACATATATATATATATATATATATATATATATATATTCAAATAAGTAGTTTGAAGAACATGGGACACATGGCAGTAGTGGAAGAAACTCATAGATCATGGGTCTGGAAGTTGAAATTCGGCAGCTGAGCATGAGACAAGTGTCTTGTAAGGAAGAAGTGGGCAGTAATTTAAAAGGACATGGGTCCTTCTTGTAAGGCTTTAATGCCTATAAATAGTTTGTTTAGGGTTACATTGTAAACTCTCTTAACGACATCAATTAGCATTCAATACTTTATATTTCAATTCAAGCAATTTCAATACAAGTCGTTTCAATTCCTTTACATTCATGCACTTACTTTCAGTATTGCATTTCAATTCATTAGATAGCATTGTAGTCTTAACTAAAAGTCCTTTCATCGAAGGCAAATCCGAAACCTCATAATCGCTTGATCATTCCAAAAGGATCTTCCTTGTCATTTGACCTCTTTGAATCTTCCGAAATTCTGGCACTCCTACATATTCTAAGTGTCCCAATTTTGTGGAAACATTAATTGGCACGCCCTGCCAGACACCCGGTAGAGATTGCAATGCTGTTAAAATCAAAGTCGACCCGTCAAACTACAACTAGTGATGAAGATCCAGAAGAAGAAGTTCAGCCGACTCCGGCTGAAAGTTCTAATCCTAGTCCTGAAGAATCAGGAGTACATGCCGAGATGCAATCATTGGTTACACCATTGGCCAAGGCATTGGGTAAGATATCTGCCCGCCTTGATGACATGGATCATAAATTATCTCAAAATTTCTCTCAGCTATCAGCCGTCATTTATAATCGGCCGGCTCATACTGGAAGTTCAAGTATTCAAGAATCGGTACGTTAACCGATTCCTTACCCTCCACCTGTGGTAACAGTTTAGCAAGTTCCAGTGGTGAGTTTTTTATAAAACCCACAAGTGACTTGGCCATAATTTCTAATGTTTCCACAACCACCGGTATAATAGCCATTTCCATAGTCACCATACCAGCCACCTCCAAGGCCTCAAGTGTTTCCTCCTAATTTTCCTGAAAGAGATTATCGTGACCCGGGGGCAATTATGGAAGATGAAGGAATAACCTACCAGTGCCACCACCTGTGGTACTCGGGGGGCAACCAATGGCCAACCCACTAGTTTGGTCAAAAAACAATCAAGCACCAGTGGCTAACTAGTCGCCAAGAATTAATCAACTGGCCCAACCAGTTTTTCTAGATAAAGGCCAGTTGACGGAATTGATAGATCGGGAATTTGGTTTAGCTACCAAAAGAGTAAGCCAACCAGCTTATAGGAAGCCATAGCCGAAAATAATTGATGAATTTGAATTCCCTAGACGGTACAAAGTTCCAAATTTTGTAACTTTTAATGGGGAAGATAACTAGTCTACCGTAGAACACATTAGCAGGTTTACGGTTCAATGTGGGGAAGTGGGAGCAAGTCAGTGGTTGAAATTGAGGCTTTTCCCAAACTCCCTCACAGGATCAGCCTTCTCTTCGTATATTCACTTACCACCAGATTCTATTCATATTGGGCAGCAGATGGAAGAGCTCTTCCATACGCAGTTCTACCGGACAGAATCAGAGGCAACTTTGGCCGATATATCTCGGCTATGCTAGATAGCCAATGAATCTGTGGAAATGTTTATTGCCAGGTTTTGAAGGTCCAAATTGAAATGTCATGTATCTCTTCTAGAAAAGGAGTATGTTAGGCTAGCCCTTAATGACCTAGACTTTGAGCTCCGAAAGAGATTTGAAGGAATGGAGTTCAGAGACTTATTTGAGTTCGTTGACAGAGTTAATAGATTTGAGTCTATACTCAAAGAAGAAAATGATAGAAATTATTCTTCCAAAGGGACTTACTATAGAGATCCTAATTACAAAGTCTTCTTAGCAGAGTTGGAAGATTATTTGGAAGCTAATGTGGCAGATGTCCACATCAAGAAGCCATATGTGTGTAGCCTTGGTCAAGTCAAAATCTTCCACAAGTGGCGGACAAGCATCTACCTCTTCGGCCAAGAAAGGAATAGCCGATTCTGGAAAAGTTTATATTCTTGATCTGCCCAAAACAGAAGAAATATTCGATCACTTAATGGTCGATAAACAAATATCGTTGCCTGAGGGACATGTTATTCCTATGGCTACTGAGTTGAAAGGAAAAGAATTCTGTAAGTACCATAATTCTTTGAATCATGGTGCTAATAATTGTTTTGTATTCCAAAATGTTTTGCAGACAGCCATGGATGAAGGAATGTTGAAATTCCCAGAAAAGAAACCAGAAGTAATGGGAGTGGACAGTGACCCATTTCTTATTATTGTTACTGATCGGTTGAGTTGATTACAATTATAAATCAACCTTCGCAATAGGACGAATCATTGTAAAATAGGGCTATTAGTCGGGTAAGTCAAACCACTAGGACTGCGCTTATCTATGGTAACCTAAGTGTCTAGAGTCTTTTTAGAATGATATGGGTATTCATAGAGGATTTGTTGGTTGTCACTTAAGCTATGAAATTAAGATGCATAAAATAAAAGTTTACAAAAGTTTAAAGGAGATGAAATACAAGTAAAGAGGACTAGGGAAGTGAATCCGTCTCCATCCCTATACACATGCTAGATTAGAGCTAAATTGGGGGAAAAACAATATATATTATGGTCATGATACATAGCAACACTTGGTTGCTATATTATCCTCAAGAAGTTCATTAAATCTCAAGCAAGCATGATCCATCAAAGGTGAACATGTTTAGACTACCTAACTAAGGTATAGCTTAACCACATTTACTTGAATGAAAGATTATCAAGCCCTAGATAAAATGATGAAGCACATGAAGGTAAGAAATAAGCATAAACCATCAAAGGCTTCACCTAAGCAATGATCTATCAAAGTCCTTATCAACATGCCATTAAACCATTTCATAACCTTGTCTCCATTCTCACCATGAAAACTCAAGCAATATGATTAATATAAGATATCATCTAAAACAAGATAATCAACTTACAGAAATCATCCATACATATATCAACATTCATTACAACAAATGAAGTGCTCTTGGTTATGAAAAGACCATAGAATATACATTGTAATCCCCAAAATATAGCCTAAATTAGAACATGCTTACAAAGGAGGGGCCTCATCACCTCCCTAGATGGAGGTTTAGTTACCCATGGGAGCCTTAGAAGAAGGAAGAAGCTTGGAAGATCCCTCCATTTTTGAGCTCCTTTGTTGTAGCTTCAAGACCTCAATCTTTTCCTCTTCCTCTCTCTCTAGAAATCTTGCAAGATGAGATATGATTTTTGATATGTGGTTCCCCTCACCTTCTTGTAAACATTATCCTACTAAACCCCCACCAAATGAGGCTCAACTCCCCCCAAAAGACATCTCCAACCAACCCATAAAGATGGAAATCAGAAATGAGGGAATCAAGGAGCAAGTGGGCTGAAGTGATGGTTCCTGGAGAGCATTCTGCCTAAAGTTCGAGCGCTCGAAGTAAGCCCTTCGAGCGTTGGAAGTCAACTTGCTCAGCTTTGAGATACTTTGGTAAAATGGCCATAACTTTCTGCTCTGAACTCTAAATGATGAACCGTTTTAAGATTTGGAAAGCTAATTCAAAGCTCTAAGTACGCCATGTTTTAATGGAATTCCAGTTCTCAAGTTTGATGGGTCTAAAATGAAGAGAAAAGTCAAACTTCACTGCTGCCAGGCTATTCTGCGCACGTTTGGTAAAAATAACATAACTCTTTGCTCCAAACTCCAAATGAGGTAAACTTTAT